TAGTTAAGTGGATCACTGAGCTGATGTTGAAATATTATGGGTCAGTCTTTCTTTTCTTATTCATGAGGAAAGATTTCTTCCCGAGTGACTCGGCCCCCAGAACCTCCCCTTACACCCAGCGTTCCACACTAGGACCCAACAACGTGACCAAACAGAGAAAATGAAAATCTGTAGATGAGAAGGAACAACTCAAAGTTCAGACACCACATTCATGGTTGCAAAACCCAGAGTTTTGACCTCAAATGCTTAAACTTGTAGGCAAAAATTCTAGTTGGATTTCGCTACAACTGCTATAAAGATACAGATAAAAAATAAAGTGTATAGGGGCGCCTGGGTGGCTCTGTGGTTAAGCGTCTACCTTCGGCTCAGGTCACGATCCCAGGGTCTTGGGATCGAGCCCCGCATCGGGCGCCCTGCTCGGCGGGAAGCCTGCTTCTCCCTCTCTCTCTCTCCCCCTGCTTGTGTTCCCTCTCTCGCTGTGTCTCCCTCTGTCAAATAAATAAAGTCTTTAAAAAAAAGAAATAAAGTGTACAAAGTATTTCATTGTTCAGGTCAGTTAGGTGGATCAAGAAGCTTTAAAAAATGGATTTGAGGGAAAAAACGTTGTCCCTTAAGACAACCTTAATGTGATCAAATCACAAATAAAATCAGTAATACAACCTGTTTGGCAGAATGTGATTTCTTTTAGAGTAAAACTGAAGTTTTTATTTCAACAGTTACTTGATTTAGCTCATCCCACACCCTTAGCTAATTCAGCTCGAAGAAATGCCTTGACTGTACCTTCAGAAACTTGAGGCTGACCCTGAGGAAAATGTTACAGAAACTCAGGAGCAGCTCATGGCTAAACACCAATGACATTCCATCCTATCCCGGTTACAGTGGTCAAAACCAAAAGTTCTGCCTGCCTTACATAAGCGGGGTTCCCTGCTGGCACAACCTCACAAAGGCAACACTCTTAACAGCTTTCTGAACTTTTCAGAGAAACCAAACTAGTCCAAATCAATTAGGCCACCTGTTATTGATAAATTAGAGTTATTAACAGCTATTAATACAACTATTTCCCTCCAAGTTGCATCATCTGGATGGCCAAACCCCCCCAAGTCTGCCTTACTTCCCATGTGCTACAACTTTAAAAATAGCCTCCATTTCCACATGCTATCAAGGAAGGTCTCTTCCCCCCTCTACTTGGAATTAGAATGTTTCTCTCTTCACAACATGCAGTCACGCTCCAAAAGCTATAAAAACACAAGGAGGTCTGAGAGTATTTCAAGGCATAAAAACGCAAAAAAAAGTTTATGGGCATTTGCCATTTCAACTAACTGGTTAACATGAGAATAAAATTTAATTTGCTTGAAGAGCACTGTGGAACCCTTAGAGCTCAAAATCCCATTCTTTACCCAAAGTGGCCTAAATAATGTACCTGGGATTCATTTGCGTACCACATAAGAACAAAGTTTTTGCAAATCTTGCTTGAATTTAAAATAAAAAGGTTTCCAAAGTGTTTGATTGCCAGTGAACTCTAAATGTCTGCAAGATAATGTTCTTTAAAACCTGATTTTGCACATTTTATGCCCCAAACCTACTGAAACTATTTAAAAACTATTTTCCTGTTAAAATACCACAAAGACATTCATTAAAGCTAAATTCTTTTAAATATAAAGACTCAAATATTCATTTTACTGCACAGGCCAGTCTTCCAAAGCAGTTCCATATACCACCCAATAGTTTCCAAAAACAGAAAGGGTTCCACAGGAAGAAAAAAATATATCCCAACCAATACACAAAATGAACGCTTTGCATAAATCAAACACAAGTGCTGTGTTTTAACACAAATTTCTGAAAATCAGCATTGAGACTCATTAACAGAAAGCATAAGTACCCAACGAAATCTGGAATAAGTAGGTAGCCAAAATGAGAAAGAATCAAAGAATGTTACACCAAAGTTGAAATCTCATTTTATACGAGGAAACGGAGACCCAGCAAGGTTACATAATTTGTTCCATATCATGCAGTACGGCAGGTCTGACCAAAATCACGTCTCTTAATTTTAAATCAACTCACCACCAAATACAACTGTGGACCCCAAAGTTCTAAAGGCTCTTTTATACTCCAATGTCTTCAGATGTTGTCTTGAACTGGTTAGAAAATCTCTTGGTTTAAAAAAAAATTTTTTTTTTCAAATATCACCTGTAGTAATAAATTCTGAAACCTGTAACAAGAGTATACAACTTTTGAAAGATGGCTACCCAACATACCAGAAATGAAGAGATTTCAAACTCCTGACAACCTTAAAGATGAGACCAAAACCTAATCTACAACAAAATACCTGGTTCTAGCCTCTCAACATCAATTAACATTCAACAGACAACACACGTGGGTCACATGGGTCTGCAATCACCGCTAAACTCAATCCTGTTGCTGGGATGACCACACTCACAGCTCATCCCAGACCCTCATTAACACCAACAGGGGTGAAGGGAAAAGGGGCTTTGGAAATAACACTCATCACCTGATCCTTCAATAGCAAATGCCATCCAAAACTCTTCAAAGCATTTCTATATCTTTGGCATCTAAATTTCCAAATCCAAAAATAATTTGGGAGGACAGACCAAGCCCTCCCTTTGACAAGGGAAAAGCCCAGAACCTGCCAACTAGGTTTGATTAATATATATACACACCTGACACAAACATTGTAATTAGAACCTATTCCTTCTGAAACATTAATCACATTTCTACCAAAACTCATGAAATCAGTTACTTCTGCTTTTAACAAGAAAAATGAAACCAATCTGATGTCAATTACAGATTACACTGTAAATGAGAATCAAATTAAAGTTGTCAGTAATTAAAGTTTTACAAGCATTACAAAGTCAAAAACATGGCTTTCATGTAACCATAAAAATAACAATGTTATACACTGTATCTACACAGTGAGAAGCGTTTCCTACTAGCGCTGGAATAAAGGATTATGTTCCGCCAGAAGCAAAGATCCCTGGGATACATAGCGGTTACTTCACAAAACCAGGGTCTGGATTTGGGTCCAAATCATTATCTGATCAGATTATCTTATCGCAACCTAATCTGACATCTTTATACCAAAAAGGAAAAAAAGAAAGAAAAAATATATATATATGCCCCTTTTCTTGAAAAACATAATAAATCGTGCAACAACTACGTACTTTCAAAGGAAACTTTAGTTTGAAAGCAATCACCTATTGTTATTTTCCTGGATTTTACCGACGAATGAGGGCTATGCATCTGCCATCAAGTGTCCACAATGCTCATTGGCTCTTTGAAAGGATCTGACTTTGGGTCCTCACCAGACTGGCCACTGAACAGAAAAATCCAAGGGAAAGCCCCCTGACAGGAATCAGCCTGAACTTTTTATTTCCCCTCCAGAGCTGTAAATACTCGAGGTCGGAAAGTCCCCCGGCGGGACCGAATCTGCAGCCCTCCAATCGGGCCTCAGGTATGATTCAAGCTGGAGGCGAGCCCGCGAAGAGGCAGATCTCCGGGGCCGGCTAGCGAGGGGCGCCTCCAGCAGACAGCTGGCACCCACACTCGCCCAAACCACCGCGTCGCCGGCCCGCAGCAGAGCTGCGCGCTCCCCCTTGAAGGTGGCACTACACAGCCTCCTAGGGGACACGGGCACTTCATTGAAGACTCAGTGCGAGTGAATCAAGGAGCCTGCGTTAGTGCAGCTGCCAAAGCCTCCAGCGGGGGGCGGGGGTCCCTAAGCCCTGCTTAGGGCTCAAGGATGTTGCGGGGAGGGGGGGCGGGGCTGGTAAAGTGCAATGCAGAAAAGAACTGAAGAAGCACAGTCAAGAGTAGATAGTGGCCTGGCCTGAGTCAGAAAGGAAGTGGACTAGACTGAAGAGGTCTGGACCAGCGGGGAAGTGAGAACAGGACCGGCAGAAGCGACACGATAGGACTGAGGAATTCGAGGCTGAAGGAAAGGGTGGAGGCAGCGAGACCGAAGCAAGGGGGCGGGGCTGCGAGATAAGCGGGGGCGGGACTAGGTGGAAAATGAGGGGCGGGGCTTAGGGGGAAAGTGAGGGAGGGCGGCCAAGGGAGAATAAAGGGGCGGGGCCGGGAGGGGAGAAGCCAGGGGGCAAGTTGGGGGTGGGTAGAGAGAGGAAGGGAGAGAGTATGGGGGAGGGGGTAAGAAACGGGGGGCAGAAGGGAGAAGCGCGGGGGCACGTCGGAGGAGAGGCCCGAAGGCGAGAGAGGGTGGGAAGGTGGTGAGAAGCGAGGGGCGGGACCGAGACCAAGGGGCGGGGCCAGGAGGGAAAGCGAGGAGGCAGGTGAGGGGAGAGGGAAGCGAGGGGGAGGAAGGGGGCTGAGCAGCGGGGGGCGGGGCCACGAGGGGAGAAACGAGGGGACGAGGCGGGGAGAGGGAGGGGAGCGACCAGGACGGAGGGGGTGAAAACGGGAGGGGGGCCGGGAGAGGGGCCAGGAGGGGGGACGCGACGGGTCAGGTGGGGAGAGAAGGAGGGAAGCCAGAGGGCCGTGGGGTGGGGGTGAGAAGCGAGGGGGCGGGGTCGGGAGCAGCGAGGGGGCGGGGTCGGGAGCGATGAGCGAGGGGCACTCGCCGAGGGGGGTGACGAGGTCCTGGGACAACGGCCGGCGTGGGGGAGGGCCACTCCACCGGGGCGCTCTGCGGGAAATTCCGGGGCTGCTGGGGGGCCGT